GATGAAAGAGTCTCCGAGCCAATAATTGTGTACGGCACTGTACTTATAAGTAATCTAGGTCTCACGAAAGAAAAAAAATTAAATACAAGGTAACATTAAAATATCAGTCATTTGTTTCGTTGCTGTGAACTTGTTTCAAAACTTCTGGCTTTTGCTTAATATAATTGTAAAACTCTGTGCATGTCATTTTAACGTATTTAGGTACATACTTATATTAATCATTTACTGTTGCTTGTGCAAAACGTGCTAAATAAAAAAAAATCGCATATGAAAGAGTACCAACCCAACTCGTAATAAATTTAAGTATACAAATTTTAGTATTTAGTATATAACCATTCAATTGAAATACGCTAATATTAAAATGAAGCGCTTTGCATTTAACGGATGCTTTTTCATAATTAAGTTAAAAAATATTTAAATTCCATGCTGCCTGTAATGGGATTTGAACCCTGACGCTCTGGAAATTAGCAAATTGCGGCAAGCATCTTCGTGCACTCAGCTACAGCCAGACATGTAAATGGCATTCAAATGTTCAGTTTGATTCAACACCACGTGTGCGTGGTATGAAAGTATTGTTTTTAAATACGAAAATTATAAAATGATAATCAAATAAAAATTATTCATGTTTACTATGCGTTATTTCCCCCAGTAAATTCATAAAATTTTTCTTAATATTACAACGCGGTTTATCTCTCAGTGTAGTCATTTTTATGCAAAATTTGTGCAATCAAATCGAAAACCGGGACACTTAAACGAAACCCGGGACATTTTAAGGTTGGACCGGGACACCGGGACAAATAGTCTAAAACCGGGACATGTCCGGGAAAACCGGGACGTCTGGCAGCCCTACCGTATGCACGTCTCGGATGCTTTTTCATATGTAATTAAGAAAGTATATATATACAAAGCATGCACAGTGGTGACAACACATACACACATACATACATGGTACATGTTTATCTGTACAAATGCACTACCCTGCAAAAATCGTTGGACCATGTAGTCTATTTGTGGTGTATTGGAGTACTTACCAAAGTGTTCCTCTGTCATGCTGTAGCGGACCAACTCGTGTCTCTGCACCAGCTTATTGTTACCTGATCACTGCTCGTGTTTTAACGAAATGTGATTGAAGTTGAGCATTTGAAAGCACATTTGCATGTCTGACCGTAGCTAAACGCATAGAGATGCTCGCTGTTATGCCATGTTCTGACCGACATCGAAAACATGTTTTCGTTGCTAAAACTCGTTTTCGACCTAAAACTTGTGTTTTCGTCCATGTAAAATCTGTCAAACGAAAACCAGTTTTCGCTGAAAACTACTTGAAAACTCACGTTCCACTCATTCCAATCGGTGTCTTCACTAGTTTTTTTCGATTATTTATCGAAGTGGAAGTCATATTTTATCATCTTTAATACGCCATTTCGGATTTATTGTTAATTGGATGGCTCAAGTGCAATAAGAATGAAAGTAAGAGGTTGCTAATGAAAAGAAAATGAAGGAAAAGCATTTTGGTTTGGTTTTTGCGTAGCGAAACTGTAATCAGAGGATGTAAGAAATGTCAACGAAAACACTAACAGCCGGTGTGAACAGTCTTCAGCCCACCATCCCAAAACTCGTTTTCAAAGTGTTTTCGTTGTCGGTCAGAACATGGTATTAGTTGTTAGCTTAGCTCCCAGAATGTTCGGGTTCGAATGCCGTCAGAGGCAACATGTAATTTAAAAATTTTTTTTTTTGGTATTTATCAATTTTGAAAAAGCATCTGCGAAGTTAAGAACAAAAGCGTGTACAAACGTAAAAATATAACAACAATAACATTGTTAATATGTTGGAGTAGTTTTGTGCTACTCTGATGTAATGCAGGGATGGAGTATATGGTCCTGCCCTAGGACATCGCAATGTTACTTGGACCTTTTTTTACATGAATTTTGATTAATTTTGGAGTACTCCTTGGTCCTTAGGGACTACTCTTTACACGCATACATGGAGTAGTGGCGATTTTCCAGGGTAATCGCGCGCTGTGATGTTGATTCAAACTCTACATTTCAAAACACATTTACATGTACGGCTGTAGCTGAGTGTGCAAAGACGATTGATACAATTAGTTGCTGCCAAGAGGGTCCGGGTTCAATTACCATCCGACGGAACATAAAATTAATTATTTTTTTCTTCTTAACTATGAAAAAGCATCTGCGCACTTTACAACGACATATTTTATACCGTACATACTCAAATTTAAAACCAGTCGGGTTGGTGCTCTTTCATATTCGTATTTTTTTTAAATTTAGCTGTTTTTTAGTTCTAAAATATTTTTCCCTCGGCGCTGTGATCGCTGATCTTATCGACAGCAATCTCCTGTGTATCCTTATATGTCTTATATGTGTATGTACACCCTTATTCTAGAACCCGAATTTTCTTAATTCGTAATTCGTAGCTACGTTACGAAAAAAGCGCAAAATCGACATGCTGCAACCCTTGCGGAAAATGGTGCAGCATTGACAGGTATCAGTTGTTTTTCGAACTCAGCTGTATGAAGGAAAACAAAGTGGAAAAGAATTAAAAAAACCCGCATCATGGGCTTGTTTATAGTAAAATTGATTGATTTTAAATATTTTGAGGAAAATTATGGATTCTGATGCATTTGCAGTTATAGCAGCGGAGTAAGAGCGCGCTATGGCAATGGACTCACAAAGGTACATATGTGGAGCTGCCGGGCATAGTAACCATGGGCGCATCTATGTCAGCTTCTGGTTGAATTGTTGAACCACAAGCCAGAACTCCTCCTATGCCTGAAGAATTGGTTCCCAATCCAGTTAATGCAATAACAGCTTCTTCCAATCCATTGAAAACATGCATGTGCATATCACAGTATTTTTGCGCAGAACCCACATCGAAATTTGCAAAAAAGTGCGTAGTGCAAACCGAATTTATTAATAATTTGAAACATTTATTTTAAATAAAGGTTTAATCCTTTGATTACAAGTGTATGTTATGTGATTCGGGTTATGCGTTTTGACACAACAACCGAAAATCATTGTACAAATAACTAAATCGGACCCAAGTTTCTCGATAAGGGGCAACAAAGATTCTTTTTTCCTCGTTTATATAAAGCAGTGGATAAAAATATATGCATATGCGAAAGGTAAATTTATCTGTTTAAATAAACACCACTAATATTTCCTGCAAACACACATCGATTTACATCTTTTATCTCGCCTCCAACACAGAATTGTTTTCGTACAAAATTACGCAAAAAAGCTTACTCGTTCGTTTTTAGGCATGCCATTGTTACGAATTTCGAAAGTTCGAAGATACGATTCGGATTGCAGCATACCATTCCTACGATTCGTAGCAAAATCCGAATACGAAAGTGTCGCAGAATAGGGGTGTAAAAATTAAATAAATTAAGTTAGAATTAAATATATTGTAAATTTTTTAAGGATATTTGAATATACAATTTTAAAGGAACATTGTCAATATCTATACGTCCTTATTTACCAACAAGTTTAATCTGTTTTAATTCTACAGAATTTTCTCTTTAATTTTATACCCATATTATTCCACATTGCACTGCATTTTTTAAATAATTTTTTGAATTAATCGTATCTTTGAAATTTTAAAGTCCTTTCAAAAAATCCGGATAGAAAACCTAAAAACCCAGCTCTACTATATTTGGCCCATAGGTGCACGAATATATAAATTTTTGTTGTGTACAATTTACTGTCGGACGGTGTAATCCATCACTTGCTAAAAATATATATTAAATCAATAAATAGAGCATTAATGTAGAATTAAAATATTAAATAAAAAACGTAAATGAAATCGAAGAGATATCTTCTGCGTATATTGTATGAGCAGTTATCTGCTGATAACGCTCTATCGGAAGTAAAATATGTACATATGTAGCACTAACAATAGCTAGGGGTCGGACATGCAGACAATAAAGGTATGCTACTATTAACTATTGATATAATATTCGTTTTGTTTCCCATTAAATTTATGTGTAATAATAAGAACAAAAGAGCAAATACCATGGTCCAAACGATTAAAGCCGCACCACATTTTGACAACTTTTAACATATTATTTTTGTTGTAATTTAGTTTTGTTTATTTTTTTAATTCTTTAACAAAACCCGTGTAAATTAAAGTTTCAAACTTTGTGCAATTTTTATGAAAAAAATTATCAAACTTTCGTAAAAATTTCAACCTTAGAATTTCTAGAAAGATTCTGAGTATGCAGTTTTGTAGCCCATTGAATTCTAGTAGAAACTAAATAACAACAAAAATAATATGTTAAAACTTGTCGAAATGTCAATAATTATTTCGACCACTATATTTACACATAGCTATCCAAAATAAAAATTATGTATTAGTTCCATAATTTCCTCAAATTAATTCTTCCATTCATAAGTTTCTAGAGCACTAAGGGTCGGTGTGTAGCACCTCAACTGAAAGATAAACACATTACGAAAGTCTTTGTCAATGGGCTCGCGCTATTTTTTAACCGACTTCCAAAAAAGGAGGAGGTTATCAGTTCGTCGGAATCTTTTTTTTTTTTTTTTTTTTATGTATGTTACCGCATAACTTTGGACCACGTCAACCGATTTCGATAATTCTTTTTGCATCGGAAAGGTAGTGTCTCAGAGGTGGTCCCATACTAATCTGGTTAAGATCCGATCAGCGGATCATGAGATATATATATATATATTTTTTATATGGGAGTTGAAGTCGGTTTTTTTTTTGCTAAAAATTACTAGTTTTATATTTTTGTTTCATTTTTTGCTTGTAACTTGAGGTATTTCATCGGTATAACTACTCTATCAGTGAACAACTTGACTTTCTGCCTCAGTATTTTTGGCATTCATAAAGTGTTGGTTGTATTGTTATTTCTGTCCCGGAATTATTTGCAAATTATGAGTCACGGCGATTATGACAATTTAAGTGGGAAAAAATTAAGTGTATTCTTTATTTAAACTAACTTTTTTCTATTTATACATTTTTAGATGCACTTCTTGCCGATCTGCAAAACAGCGTGCCAGGCAACCGCCAACCACAGTATAGTACCTCAAATGTCAACTACGGCGATAGCTCAGGTTATGGAAGTTTGCGCGGAAAGGCAGCGCCACCATCTGTAAGTTTAATACAAGTTAATGAATTGAATTAAAATGTTACTAAATATGACCATGATATATGTACATACATATCTATGTATGTATTGCAGGTAGTACATCAGGAACACTACAGCGTTACCGAGAGAAATTCGGTGTCACCCACGCGCACTGTTGGTGACTATAATGGCTTGGGAGCGCCTCCGGTTGGGCAGTCGTACAATTATCAAAATCAGGGTTCTCTTGGACGATCCGGTGGTCCTTACAATGGAACTTCAGTGCAACAAAATTCCAAGAACCTATCAGAACTGGATTCACTTCTGGAAGACTTGAGCAATGCGAGATATAATAGTAGTTATGAGAAAAAAGGTACGTTGTATATCCCTATTATAATAAAAAAGTTGTAGCCTCACTGAGCGACAGTGGAAGTATTATTTGCACGAGACATACATACATACTTAGATAATCCAAATTGCTTGTCAGTAAGGTAAAAAACTGCATTCTCAAAATTTTCATTTGCAAAAGCAAATTTTCCTTTATTTTTTGTCATTTTGCTCTGAAAATTCTGACTAACTTATAACAATTAACTCCTATGATCGGCAAATTAACATAACAACCCAGTCGGCAAAGTTAGAAAAGGTAGCCTTTCTGGGAGCTCTTATTTCGAGTCTCGCTCTTGTTTGTAGAGAATTTTCTGGTCTATATTCTGATATTTTTACTTTCTTGATAGGACTCATTTAACATAAGTTCTGAGCGTTTTTTGGCGTTAACGTCGAAAATTTCATCAGTTTTTCATTAACTAACAATATTCGTGAAACACCTTGACCTCCTATTTTGAGATGTTGTTCAGGAAAATTTTCTGAACATTTTGGTGTAAGTTTCTTCCTGCGTAGACTATTTGAGACCTCACAGGTATAAGCCAATTTAGATTGACTGCACTAATTCGCAAAATAAAAAAATATATGGATCGATAAAACAAATTGAGAAGAGCATAACGGTGCACTTTATTTTTTGGGGAAAGAACTTTTTTTTTGTTTTGTATAATATGTATGTATTTATTTATTTATTAAATCTTTCTTTCGAAGCTAACAATAAGTTTTCAAATCTTACAAACTATCATTAAATTAAGAATTTCTGCGGCAATGGTTAGATATTTTAGTTTATTACATATATATTTTTTGCAGTTGTGCGGCAGTCGGAATGGACAAGATTCCGATAGGCAGGATCTCTGGATATCATGCATCGGTCTGAAAGTACGAGTTCCATAGCCGTACTGCCTGGGCGGGTGGAAAGGACTAGTTTCCACGCCGCGCCTTCGCTTCTAGATATTTAAGCACACATGTAATTAAAATCCAGAGATCTGTGTTCGGTCGAAAAGGACAAGTTTCTGAGCCGCACGGACACTGGATTTCGTGTTGGTTAGTCGGTCTGAAAGGACGAAAATTTGCGAATCTCCAAAATTATGACATTGTGCATCATTTGATAATATCGGAAAAATCCTGCCTTTTTAGTAGTCTTGCATATCTCGGGCTTAGAAGATCTCTCACCAGTCGATTTGTATGGTTCATTAACCATGCTGAGTAACTGGTGCTTAGTTTTCGTATGTGTTCATGCACCGTACCACGGTGCTCCGCATATTCCGCGTAAAATTTTTGACTGTAGTCTCTGTAGTCTGTTCAAAATGGAATTGCACGCTGTGCCCCAAAGCTCGATTCCATATGGCCAACATGGCTTAGTCATCATATTAAAAAGCAACATCTAGTTATCTAGGCTTAATTTAGATTTGTGTCCTAGACCCATTGAAGGCTTACTTGTTTGAGTTTCGCTTGATAAATTTTGTTTTCTATATGCTGTTTCAGGGTAAGTCTCCTATCTAGTGCCATCCCAAGGTATTTGACACTATCTTTTTATGGTATAGCATTTCTGTTTAGTTTTAGTAGTTGGACAAGTTTCTCTCTTCAAAGTAAATGTTGTCTGAATACACTCACTTTCGTTAACCTTTATCCTCCAAGAACCCAGCCACAGCTTTATCTTATTCAAATATTCTTCCAGCTTGTAAGAAGCTTTTTTAGGGTCTGAACTTATCTTATGATAGCTGTGCCATCAGGAAACTTTGGAGTTTCATCAGTTGGCAAATCACGAGTGTATATTACGTACAATATGGGTCCTATAACACTGCTTTGAGGGACACCTGCATATACATTTAGGGTGACTTTCCGTTCTAAAGGAATTCTGTCTTCTTTCCAACAGAAAACTTCCCAAAATTGCATGCGTATTTGCAGGGAGTGAAACCTTTAGTTTGTATATAAGGCCTTCATGCCAGACTTTGTCAAAAGCTTGAGAAATATCCAAAAATACACCGGCGCGGCATTACTTCCCTTCGAAGGCTTTTCTAATACAAGAAGCAATTCTATGAAATTGTTCTACAGTGCCATGTTATTCACGAAAACCAAACTGATGTGGTATTACTTGGTTGGAAGTGTCCCAAATGAAGTATGTTATTTAAAATATATAACGCAAAATTTACGGCACCTGTAATCCTATCATAGCCAGGCGCTTTATTTTTCTTAATGTCATCATCAATAATGGGTTAATTAAATGTTTCTTTTTAAACCGAAGCGGATTTGTGATAAGGCTACTGGGGGGTATTGAGTAATATGTGAAGGATGAGCGCCTTCATTGAATACAGTTACGGACATTGAAATACATACAGATAAAAGGAAGGTACCAGGAGCTGAATTTCACAATGTGGAGTCTTAATATTATTGGCTTCTTATTTGTGGTAAACATGTATAATATATAGTGTGGAAAATGTAACGAATGGTACCATATTCCGCATCATTTTCTCGAATTTAATAAAAATTATCAAAACGTTATAGAACAACACTTGCGGAAGTAAAAATGCTTAAAGAGCTGTTAGGGGAATAAATTCTCTTCTTCATGAAGACCTAGTTAGCAAATATGACTGGCAATGCATTTGTGGAGCCGAATTGAGTTCTAGAGGATGTTTGGTGTTATCGAAGCAGAACCATTACCGAATTTTATAAATTTTATATCGCAATGCGTAAAAGATTTATAGAAAGCGGAGAAGACTCTACATGATATTATAATAAAACATATGAATTGAAGTTTTTGGAATAATAATACGAAAATGCATGTTTTTTTAATAGGCTAGATTTCAATGTTCGTGTAGAAATACTATTTCTATATGTCTTTATTAACTTAAAAATTAAACAAATACAAGTTCTGACTTTAGCGTCGCTAGAAAATACGTTGAATGAAATTGGTTTCAGTTAGTACAAACGAGTGTCAAACAGCTCTGTTCGTTGACTGCGCCTGTTGGTGTTGCCACTTAACTACTGCGGCAAGTGTTAGGGTTGGTCCCTACCCACCACCCTCTTCCAGACCTAGCACCGGAGAAACGTAACCAGGGTAACTGTTTATGTTGGTGATGTATCGCTGCTAACTAGGAATTTTAATCCCTGGATCCCGGACTTTTTAAGGTCTCGAAAATCCCGGGATTCTTGGCAAGTAATCCCGGGATTTTCGGAATTTGTCATTTGCACTGATGGCAATAATAGAAATTCCTTTTCTTGATCAGTATTGGCTATTTCTTTATTTAATAACACTGTGAGACAAATGGTAGGGGTCAGTGATCGGGAAGGGTTCAAACTACCGGGGAAAGTTATATCGGTAAAAAAGAAGTTATACGTGTCCCGGCGTTTCGAGAACCACTAGTCCGATTTTGCTCAAACAAATTTAAAAAAATTAAAAATTACAATTTCTTTAATCTGTTCATATAACGTTTTTCTATATAATCAACAGTTTTTAAAAAATTTAATATTTTAGGCAAAAAATATTTTTTTCCTTCATACATTTATTTTTACCGGCAAACTGTTGATTATATGTGACCTGGGCCCTATTGCACCAACGAATTATCATTAGCATTTTAGCAGATTATCGAACTTATGCAAAGTTTTGTGTTTTACCAACATGATAAGGAAAAGTCACTCAAATGAGTGTTGATAAGTAAAATATCACTCAAAATCATAGATAAGCGTTGCACCAAAATTTGAAATGCTTGGCGAAAAGGCTTTGGCGGATAAGTGATAAGTTATGCAAATTATCAAAATTTATTAGCATTTCGTTGCACCAAAAATTTTTATATATCACTTATCATCTTTCATTTTGCTAACTTTAGCATTATTTTGCTAAAAGTAATTTTACCTATCATACAAGTGATAAGATACATTTATTCAGTCTGAATGAATTTATTTATTTATTTATTGTAAAAGGATAATACAACTATACCTTAACAATCTAAAACTTAAGCTCTAACACGTGATTCGATAAAATATTGACACAAAAAATGCTTCGATTCGAACTATTAAATTTATTAGAGGAGGAAAATCTGCAAATAATAAAAGGCGTGTTATAAAAGAACAAATCAGCTACAGTATAAATTTTGATGTAGTAGAAAAATTTCGGCTATCTCGTAGCCAAATTGAAGAAATTTTATTAAAAATTGGAGCGGACCTGGACCTACAATATAACAGTGGGTGTAATAATGGCTTAAGTCCGCTACAGCAATTATTATTGACTCTGCACTAATTAGGTAATGGTAGCCAACATCATGGAATTGCTCAAATGCATGGGGTTCACAAATTAGCGGTATGTACAATAATCCATCGAGTGGCAAATGCCCTGATAAACAAATTGATGAATGAAACTATTTGTTGGCGGGAATTTACGAAAAATATTGCCACAAAATTTTTCAGCATTGGTGAATTTCCTTAAGACGCAGGGAGCATTGATGGAACTATGATTTGTTAACCGGTACGGAAATCATTTAATTAATGCAATGTGGTTTTTGTGTTTTTGTTACTGAGTTATTTTGGAAAGATCCAAATAAATAATCCTTAATTTAGAAAAATTTAATTATTTATGTAAACATACATAGTCAATACGGACTTGCTTTTTTCATTAATAATTTTTAAGACAGCTAATATATTGGCTGCGCTTTGTGCGCGCGACATAGTAAGAAAAAAAAGATAAATTGAAAATGTTTATCAAATCGCACATGGGTTTGCTAAGCTTTCGTTTTCCATTGAGAAACGGTAATCATTTTAGCTAAGCACATTATTGGAAAAGTTCTCTATTTGAAAAGCAAAAGAAATTGGCTGTGCAATGGTTATCAAATCGACTTATCCAAAAAACATGCCAGTTATTAATTTTTTTTTAAATTGATAAGTTTTTTATGATAAGTAAAAAGTGAAACACTTATCAACTTTACTTTTCAATAAAAAGGCTTATCTAAAAGTTGTAAAGTGATAAATGATAAGTCATTGGTGCAATTGGGCCCTGGGCCC